TGATCTATCAGATGGCAAGGGGACTCGGAATGGTGGTGGCGAAAAGATGCTCCTTATCGGCCGTCCGGCGGAAGCGTCTGTTGGTCACCAACTGCCCCGCGCTTGCTAGCCACCAGATGACCAGAAGCTATGTGCTGGACAACGGGCCCAAGGTGAAATCGGATCACCGCTCAGGAACGATGGTTGATGGTGAGTTAGGATATGGATAACAGTTCCAGTAGAAACCTATTTAGCCCCACTTGACCCCCAGTGGCTCGTACCATTCGCGAGCAATCCGGCGTAGACGTGGGCTATCATACCATTCCCAAGCCCCGGGACCATCTCCTGCAGCATGAGCCCAAAAGAGAGGAGCTCCCACCGAGAACCATGTTGGATTCCCACACCACTGCCATTCTGCCCCTCAGTGCCAGCGAGCTAATCCGCGAGAGCTATGTTAATCACCTGGGCAGGGTGAGATTGGGTCGGATTATGGAGGAACTGGACATGTTTGCAGTGTGGATCTGTCATCGCCATGTGAAGCTACCCAAGCTTCCTAAGGGAGTTCCGCTACCTTACACCTTCGTCACATTGCTCGTGGACAAAGTGGAGTTCACCAATCTGGAGCGGTTGCAGGTCAACCAGGACATCGAGATCAGCGGACACATCTCGTGGGCGGGACGCAGCTCCATGGAGATCACTATCTATGTGAGGCAGTTAATACCTGGAAGCAGGGAATATATCGATGTAACCAAAGCCATCTTTGTCATGGTGGCCAGAAACGCCACAAACACAGCTGCGGCGCCTATTAATCCTCTGGAGGTTGGTAATGAGACCGAGAAGCTCATTTGGGAGCAGGCTGAGAAGCGGCAGAAGCTGCGCAAGTCCACGGCCATGGAGTCGGTGCTCAGCTCGCCACCCAGGGAATACGAGCAGACCATCATGTACGAGATCCTCAAGAGAACCACTCCGACCAACAGCATGGATCTCAATAAGCGTGTCCTGCCGCCGAAGTGCCGCTGGATGGAGGACTCCCTGCAGTCGACAATGATTGCTCCGTTTCCGGAGAACAGGAATGCACAGAACACCATCTTTGGAGGCTACCTGATGCGTCAGGCCGTGGAGATTAGCTTCATAATGGCCAGCATCTATCTGGGCGATCGGCCCATCCTCACGTGCATCTCGGACATCAGTTTTATGCACCCAGTGCATGTTAATAGGTTCCTCCAGCTCACCGCCTATGTGGTTTATGCCGCCCAGAATTACGTCCAGCTGATGACCGTGGCCCAGATTTGGGATGCTAAGAGTGGCAAGGTGCAGACCACGAATGTCTTCTACCTGACGTACAGGGCGGACAAGGTTCTGGACGAAGTGCTCCCGCGATCCTACCGAGAAATGCTGTGGTACATCCACGGCAGGCGAAAACTCCTGGCCGCCTTGCACTTGCAGCCGGAGCTTCCCGATCCCATCGACGTGCCCACGGAGAGCTCAAGAAATATCTGTACTTAGTTTTAGCGCTAAGATAAATCGAATGTGGTAGTTAAACTATTTTGTAATTATAGAATTTAAACTTTCTCAGTACCTATTTTTTTTTTTAAATTTCTAGCAAATTAGATGAAAATGAAATTTCAATAATTGAAATAAAATTGTAAAACTTTAAAATTAACCCATGCATTTTTTAACTAGAAATATGTTCGAAAATTCAATCAATTACTTGCAAATTACCGTCAATCTTGAGTGAAAAAACAGTCGAGAACTTTCCGTTTTGTAAGGTTTATTTTACAAATCCTGTTAGTCTAACCAGCGGGCGCGCTTGTACAGTGTTTTTGCTTTAGAAATCCTTAAACTGAAGACCCAGATCCGCTCGCTTAGAATCGCATGCGGTGGGGGTATTGGGAGGAGTGCAGGGCGAACATGTTCTGCAAGTACTTGGCAAAGAACTTGCCCTCGGGGTGGGCCTTGATGACCTTCAGCAGGGCGGAGTCCACCTCCTTCTGGTCCTTCTTGCGCTGCTCGTTGGGCACGAAGCGCTCCTTCTTGGCCGCGAAGATGTCGGCCTCGCCGCTCTTCTTGTCCTTCTTGGCCTTCAGGCGGCGGAAGTAGGCGTCGTTCAGGTGCTCGGGCACCTTGAAGGCACCCAGATCCACCTTCGAGGAGGTGCCGATCACGTAGCGCTGGGAGACGCGACGCAGGGGGCACGAGTTGAGGGCGAAGGGTCCGGTGACCAGCAGGAGTCCGGAGGCCAGCGTCTTCAGCAGGACGACGCGCTTGCCCTGGTGGCGACCGGCCAGCAGGATGAGCACGGTTCCGGGGGTCAGGTTGCGGCGAGTGTTGCGCTTGTGCTCGCTGAAGTTGGCCTTGGAGGGGCGCTTCTTCACGAAGGTCTTGGTCGGGTAGTTGGCCTTGGACTTCTTCAGGAAGACGGTACGCTCACCGCCGTTCTTGGGGCCTCCGATCTTCTTCACCTTCTTGATGGGCACCTTCACCTTCTGCACCACGGGGCTCTTCTTGTCCTTCAGGCGATACAGGGCACGACGCTTGTACATCTGTAAGGGGGAAAGGGGGTTAGTTATCAGGGATTACTAGTCTTTCGGTTAGTTTGGATCTGTTTAGAGTGTTATTTGGTTTATTTACGTGGTTGTCTCATATATTTCTCACTTGATTCTTTTGGGTTACGTTTCATTTTTGGCTTTCCTTACAGTTAAATGGTGTTACTTAGCAAGTCAAGTCAATGTATGAATGGATTACCCCTTATTCGACACCTCTGTGTAGTTTATCAGTGAATTTGCACTTGTTGCACAGAGATAGCTCAGGATAATGATGTTCTGAGAGCTCATTTAAGTGGAATGTTAATATTTCAGGTAAACTGTGCATGGTTTACACATGTTTGCCACTCAATGCACCTTATTTACACATTCTTTACCAAAAAACAAATTTTGTTGAAGAGGTTGTAGTTTACATGCACTTCCGAAGGCAAAATATTGAAGATCCAATAAGTGAAACAAGCACAAATTTAAAGGATAATGCAGGGAATATCCCTGCTGACCGGAATAACGCCAAATCGATGTCCGATCGGAGGTACTCCCGTGGAGTCGGAGCACTATACGTAGACCACGCTGTGCCACATTCCCAGGCGGAGGCGTCACTCCGCCCAGAGGCCATTTCCCCACCGTTCCCGGCGATATTTACCTGGGCCTTGGAGTAACGCAGAATGCCGCCCTTCAGGTAGGAGTTGACGGGGGTCTTCTTGCCCTTTTTGGCCGACTTGGCCACCTTCTTAGCTTTTTCGACGGGTGCCATTGTGAAACACGTGTACACAGCACAAAAATTATTGGAAAAGGAAGGTTATGTTTAGAGGTGGGACTCTGGGTGGCCGCCGAGTTATCGACCTATTAAATACCATTTTCGCTTACGCAAATATACCAAAAATAGTTCAGATGGTCACACCGAAAAACTGATTTCAACACTGATATCGATTATTTAATCAAAACTTCAATATTTTACAGCACTATTGGTATGAAACTTCGCTAACAATATGGCGTCTCGTATTTTAATTTAATTGTTCAATAAAAATAATGAGAAGTTAAAATAAACGAAAAACTGAACTCATTAGTTAATAATTTATGTCATCATCATTATATTTTCAATTATAAATATTATTGTATATTTTTTTTTTTAGAATCTTAAAAAGGAAGTAAAAAATTCAACATTTTGAAAGCATAGATAAAATTATAAATATTATTGTATATTTTTTTTTTAGAATCTTAAAAAGGAAGTAAAAAATTCAACATTTTGAAAGCATAGATAAAACGCAATATGTTCAAATCAAATTCAAAATCTAGTCTTGTATTTTGTTTTTACGACTTTAATAAACTAATCTAATTTTTGTTTAGTTAACTTGGTTTTTCTTGACAATATTTGCATTTAAAATACAAAACAACTTTGGCCATTGTTGCTCTAGCCAGTAATACGAAATCTGAAAAGAACATTAAACAACAAAACTAAATACAGTAAAAGTCGCATTATTTCACAGCTTGTTAAATAATAGGAAAAAACACTTCCCAGTGAAAATAAAAAACACCTTTTTCCATTTACCATTTAATAATACTTTTTTCCATTTATTTGTTGTAATGTGTGTACAATGATTTAAATCACGAGCTTCAGCTGTTTTCAAACAACTTGTTCCATTTTTTCTTTACACAATGATCCATTTGCTTAAGAATGATTCTGGTGGACGCCTAAAGTAGAATCTAATTAATTACAGGTTGTAATTTAGAGTTAGAATAAATTAAAATGAGTGGTTCGTAATGTACAATATGAATTCATTTCGCGTCGTAACTAATCCTAAGTAACTAAACCTCAACCGAATATAAGCTCAGAACTTGACGATGGGAAATGAGTGATCAAATAAGGACTACAACTAAGTATACTTTACAATAATTGAGATTTTCTTGATGTTTTTGATGTTGATCCTTGCAAATATTTAACTAACTCCGCGCTAAATACAATGTAAAATTTGCTAGTTGTTAAAATTATGAAATCTCAGCCCGTGGCAGTAGAAAAACTTAGTTCTAGACTTCTTTCACCGCTTTCACCTTTCTCTTAATCGCTTATTTGTCAATTGGCTCTTACTAAAAGTTGGACTAAGCTAAAAACGTGTTTTTTCACCACTGAACACATGATCTTTTCTGTCGCTTAAATATAGTTAATTGTTTCGCATTTCGCTTCAGCGTTCGACTGTGTTAACAATGTTGTCGTTTTTCTTTTTTTTACATATATTTTTACTGATCATCAGGCTGTGGGAAGGTGTAGTTAAATACAGAATCTATTGCACAATGGTTAAAGATCGAGAGTCCTTGAATATTTACAGCAAAGTCGCCCGGGTTTATTTACACATTTGGTCTTGGGGATTCTGGGGATTATGCAAATGGTGGTGGTGTACTCACATTTCGCCGGAGTCGCCGCTGCACTGCATCTGGCATCTGCCCAGTGGCCACGGACAATGGTAAAATAAAACAGGCGAGTTTGTTGTAAATATTCATGAAAACCGAATGCCCTTGTGGCGGGCAAACGCATTTTATTCAAATTTACAGACAAGAGTTTGCACATTCCGCTGCCAAGAGTGGTTTAAAAAAGTATGAAGAAACGTTTCTGAAGTTGCGAAATTTCAATTGTTTTTATGCTCTGCGTTAGTTTTTGCCTATGCTCTCTACTAAAACTCTTCACTCGACCCTCTCGGTACATCTTGCTAAATGTTGCATCATAATTTCTGCTTAATGTTCGCCGCGCTTCAATCTGAATTGAATTTTGGCCTTGTCTCAACGCTGGTTTTGCTCTTAACTAGGGTTTAGTTGGTAGTTTCGTATGGTATATATGGTACAACATAAGAATGCATTTCGTTTTACAAATTGTTTAATAATTTAAATAATATTATGTAACAAAAAAGAAGATTGCGCATTATATGTAGAGGTATAATATAAAAAGGGGATCACCGTGGTACTCGAACTAAATCTCAATGCCTTTGAAGCTGATTGATTGATTGCTTGACTGTTCAAGTGATAAACAATTGTGTAATATTAACAAATTTACTTAGCTGCGTATGATAATGAAAGATTGCATTCGACTGCTTTCGTTTGATTTTTAAGGGCGGAAATTGAGTTCGCTTTTGTTTGGTTTTCGATTGTGTTTTTTGTTTTACAGAGAAAAATCTACTAGACACACACTACATATCGTGGATTCATCGTATCTTTGTTTAATTAATTATTATTGTTAAGAGTTCTTAGTCAATACAGGCGGCGAATTATACTTTAGTTTTTCTATGGTTTTCGTTTTATATTTTTTTGAGCGCGGCTAAAATTACTGGTTTATCTGATCTGACCTCGTTTTTGTTAAGCTTATCTTTTAGGGCGGTCTATACATAAAGAACTTTTGTACTTTTTTTTAGATTTTATGATTTTTTGTGGTTGTTTTTTTGGGTCCATTGATTCGGGGCTTTTACATTAACTGATAAGAGCGGGACAAACATAGAGAACATAGTGTTTACAACTAATTTAGGGGTCTGTTGAAAAAGATTTACTTTTTGTTTTAGGGGTTTTGTTTTGTAGTTTTTTGAAATTTTTTTGTTTGACGGTTTTAAGCGCAACCAACAAAAAACTGCTGTCCCATTCCAGATGTTCGGGATTTCGGCGTGGGTTCGCAATTCTCAAATCGTATTCTCTCTCTCACTGATCTCGAATAATGATCCGGAACGGCATCAATCTTTTGTATGATGGTCCGCAGCATTCATTTTGAATTTTTTTATATTTTTTTTTTGCTTTTGTTTTTTTTTCACGTATTTTTTTGTCTGCCGCAAATAAATCGAAAAAATTGTGGGGGGCGCTACTCTCGGGCAACTTTCTCAAAAGGGGGAGGGCATGGCTGCGTCCCCTTGCCGCCCACATTTCCGTATTTCAATAGGTTTTCTTAAATGTTAGAACCAGCGCTACCAAATACACGTTTGTGTATATGCCAAAAGAATTATGATGCACTTTAGCAAAATATACACACTACCTCAACCAGCACTACTACACTTGCACGCGGAACGCTCTCATGGACACACACCCCACCTCCTGGTGCTGCTCCTCCCGCTGCTTCTGCTTCCGATGGGGATATGTCTGGTGCCTGATCTCCTGGAGGATGCCGGCCCCCGGAAGGCAGGGGTGTGTGCCGCGTGGGCGTCTGGTTGATGGTTCCTTTGTCCGCTGCTCCAGTTGTCCAGCTGTTGTCCCTGCTGCTCTACTGCTGCTGGCTGGCGGCTGGATACTAACATTGTTCGAAAATTGGAATTATGGGTGAAGTGGGCCAGTCCTCCTCCTCCTCCGAGCTAATACTCTCGGTTCTGGAAAGGGAAATACAAAATGGCAGGTGTTATGAGCTTCGAATTACATAATGAAAATACAAAGCGAAAGTTGATAAACTAGTTTATCTTATTTTTATTATGGATATATATATAATATAGGTATACTAAATAAGAAGTATATAAACTCACAACAAACTTTATTTTATATCTTTATAAGCTCATCTATCAAATATTATTTCGGATAATATCAATAACTCCCTTTAATTTCCCTGGTTTCCAGGTGACAACCTTGTTTATGGCTTCACAATCGGCAAATCAATTAACAGAACCAGTTCAAGTTGAAGGCCCCTTTTGCAATCAAGGCCCCCCGAAAATCAGCTGATAATTCGGCAAGCCTTTGCTCAGGTGCAACTGGAACACAAAGTTCGGGGAATAGTGCATTGAACTCTCCCAAATGTTTATGACTAACTTTCGAAACGGCTCGAGAAAAGACTCTAGAACAATATCAGCGATAAGATAGCAATTAGGGGAAAGAAAGCTAGGCAAACAACGGGGCAAAAAATAGAAATTCAATGACATTGAACATGCACATCTAAGTTCAATGTGAGAATCCAAGGACGCACAACAGCTGGCCAAGATATAGGTAAAAGTATACTATATAGTATACATACCCCACAGATATATGTGCTTTGCATAATCAAAGACTCTTTTGGCAACCCTCGCGGCTGTCTACGTGCGTGTATTTTGTTGTTGCGTCTAGCGGGTATTTGGAAACGATAAGGTTGTTGCCGAAAAAAAGCAAAAACCGGGGCGGCAGCGAAAATAAAAAACAAATAGCTATATAAACACGCATACAGAGTGGACGTTTGGTTTGAAGAGGAGGCGGTCGGTGGGCGAGCCAGCCAGTCTCATGACAAATGTGTTGTTGCTGCTGCGGCTGATAATGGAATCGCTAATATTCTAGAAACTTGTTTACGCCAAAAAGCTCAGATCGTCATCGACACATTTGCTTACAGTCGAGATTATGTATGCGCGTGTAGGCTATGCCAGAAATCACTAAAAATAAAGAAGAACGGCAATCCAGGTCCGAAAGTTTCCATGTTCTCATTACAATAAGGGGTGGGAAAATACAACTTGAGATTGTAGTTGTACTCGGCTTTTTCCTACAATACTTTCCTACCCTATTCTGAGAAAGATATCCTCTTGAAATCCCTCTTTTCCCATACCTTTCTGCATATTATTCAAAATCCTATAACATCTAAAGCTACATCCAAGACTCACCTCGATCGCAGGCCATCGTCGAGGGCGTTGGAGATGCCTTCCTCAATGGTGGGCAGGTCGGAGGAGAAGCGGTTGATCGGGCGCAGGACGCGCAGCGTGCGACTGGACAGCTTCCAGACAAGCCGCTGCTTGTAGGGCGCCTTGTTCTGCCCGTTGTAGTGGGACAGAATGCCCGACACGATGCTGAAGCCGCAGGTAAAAACGCGATCGGGAATCTGTGGGGCACACAAAATAGAAGCCATTAAAATGAGTCCCAAATTAACAATAAGGAACTCCCAACCGAACTCACCCTCATGTACTGCTGCAGGAAAAGGATGTACTCAAAGACGTGCTTCAGCTCGGGACTGCCGCGGGTGTACGACTCCTTGATGTGGAAGTCCAGGTGCAGGCAGATGAGCACCAGCGCCAGCGTCGAGGGCGTGATCACCGTGGTCTTGACGTCGCACATCAGGATCTCCAGCCGGTTCTCCAGCTCCTCCAACTTGATCAGCTGCTGGTAGAACTTGAAGAAGTCGCCGCCGATCTCCTTCGCCAGGTTGCGGAAGAGGGCGTAGTAGATGCGCAGGTAGCTCACGGAGGTGATCGGTGCATGTCCCATCTGGACGCCCAGCTTGTTGGCAATCACACCGGCCATGCGTTCCAGATCGCCAGCGGTACAACCACACTAGAAGCATATGGAAAAAGAGTAAGTAAGCTGCGAAATCAGGAGAGATTTCCCAAACACCCACCTGAGATATTGTAACCAGATCCTCGGCGGGAATGGGCTTCAAGTCCAGCTGCTTGATGGCCAGGTGGAACGAGGCCACGCTCATGCAAGCCATGTGCTTAGGCTTGACGGCCATTCTGTCCAGGAAGCGGTCCACCAGCTCATGGCCGAGAACAGGACGTCGGAGGGCAGCTCGTACCACATCTTCAGGCATCGCAGCACGTAAGCTGATCCATCTCGTCCCCCGGCAGTCACCTCGCGCTATTCAAGGAATACCAGATTAGTTGGTAACAAGCCTAAACAGTAAACTAATCACTAGACTCACCCTCGACTCCTTGGGCAGCAGCAGCACCGTGTGGAACTTGTCCTGCAGGGCGTCGTACTCCTTGAGGGTCTCGTACAACTCGTCCGAGGTGAGGGCGTGCAGCTGATCCTCCAGCTTCTTCGAGGACGAAGACGGCTCGCCATTGTTGTTGCTGGCGGCTCCACCGACGGCACCAGCCTCGGCCTCCAGTTGCTCTTGTTGTTCGTACTTCTGATATTCCAAGCCAGCAGCACCCGGTGTCCCATACCGGCCCTCGTCCGCAATCCTCATCCAATCAGTTGGCATCTCTGCATTGCGGTTAATGCCGTTGGCCAGCTTGCCCCCACCCAGAGCCGCTCCCGATCCTGATCCCGGTCCAGCAGATCCTCCAGCGGATGCAGCAGCAGCGGCGGCAGCCTGGGCCGAAGTCGAGGGCTGCTCGTCGTCGACCAGAATGGCGTTGATGCTGTGGGCGTCCATGGCGAGTCCGTTGTTGTTGATGTGGGAGGGTCCGTTCGAGAGGGTGGCTTGGTGGTCCTGGGGCAAGGCGAGGCCTGGCATAACCGACGACGACATCGATGTCCTCTGCTGCATCAACTGCTCCTGCTGCCGCGCCGCCTGCAACTGGCAATAGTAGGCGATATCCTGCTCCCGTTGGTACTGGTAGTGCTGGTATTGCTCGTACTCGTATTGCTGTTGCTGCTGCTGTTGCAGAGTGCTCTCCAACTCACAATCAACTTCGGCGGCGTATTCGGCGGCAGCAGAGGAGTAGCGTACAGGGACAGACATTGTGAGGGCTGGCCTAGTACCTGTTTTTAGGTTGTTAAGGTTGTAGGTTGTAGATTAAACAACACTCCTTTGGGTGGTGACCAAAGAGTGTCGGAAAAATGCAAAAGAAAACTAGGCTCAGGTTACAAATCGCAAGGAGGAGAAGTGGGAAGGAGCGGGGTTCGTCCTTTCGTTCTCGCAGTCCTTGTCAAATTTTGTTTGCTTTTATTTTCAGCTATCACACGGATCTCACACTTCCCAATTGGGCCGATATCAACGAGTTTTTTACGAAGCAACTCTCAATCTTTCGCTCAAGATCCGTGGTGTTTGGAAACTTGCGCTTCAGGGGGTCCAAAAATGGTTGACCACTGGTACCTCCTATCGAAACGCCACCGAAAATAAAACTAATCTGTTTGCTAACTTGTGCTGCACACACCGGTCGCAGAACTCAGAGATTTCACTGTCTTTCGAAAACTCTGGCTGGTTTTAGTAATGCCAGCAGCTCAGTGACCTTAATGCAATTCTTTCAACGATTGGCAAACGGGAAACAAACAAAAGACACCCTCTACAATGGTTATTAACGACGACGCAATTGCGGGCAGTGTACCAAGGGACAATTCAACGATAGCTATATCTGTATAGGCTAAAAGTCGACTTTTTGGCTTGTCTGGCGTACGCTGATCTCACAATTGTCGCGCTAACGAAATGGAAAATGTGTTCAGAAACTCAAAACCAAATGAGTTTCTGTGCAAAGCGCTAAAATTATGGTTTATTAAGTGTTCGCTCAGTGCTTTTCACGATAATAAACTCTTGCGCTTGGCTAATTTCGATTTTCAGCTTTTATGATATATTTTTTTGGTTTGTGTTTTTGTCTAAATTCAAATAAAACTTACGAGCTGCAAAAGTTGTTTGTGTTTGGGGGCACAGAGAAATTAAAATATTATTACAGTGTTTCAAAATAAAGTCAATGGTTGTATGGCATGCAAATTAATTGATTGTGTGTGCAAGTGCAATGCACTCTTCCCCTTTTTTTTTGTGCGTTTTCGAAATATATCGTGTTCAATGCGTTTAACGAACTTTTTGGCTTTGGCTAAATACAAAAAATCCACCTGTACAGTGGGACAAAAGCGACATGCACTCGCTGAACTCAGCAATAAACATGATGGCATTGGAATTCATTTTATTTTGAGCACCGACCTCAGTCAGTGACACATTTTTATTCAAATCGCGCGGTTACAAGGTTGCTTTAGTGGGAAGGAGGGGGACCTGGGAGTCGATTTATCGCCTCAAGGCGAACCACGTAAATAGATCGAGACTCTAGTCCACTGGCAAGAGATCAAAGCATGAATAGTATCGGACAACAAACATATTTTGATCTTAGTTATTCAAAAGAGGGGGTCAAACAGAAAATGTTTGTCGACCTTGTTTGCCGACGTTACATTCCACATATGTATTATACAGATCCAATAAATACCTATTCAATATTTAGTATCATTCTTCCCAATCGAATTTATTCCTTAACAAATAGCAAACCAGCAAAGAATCTTGAAAGGGCAAGCAATAATTTATTAGATCGGGGCAACTTCAAGTCCCAAGTGCCTCTATATCACTTCGCACTTCCGCCAGACAAGAGTTGTTCCCAAAAGCCCGCGATTAAAACTTGAGCAAACGCAAAGCCCAACAAAGGAAAAACAAATCTACTTATAAACACTTGAGCAAACATTTATAAACGGTGTGCTAGTTTAGTTCGACCCAAGGAAAATCCCAGAGAAGATAGCCGCCTGCCATTAAATGCTTTCTCCTCTCATTTCGTAAACCAAAACAAAAACTTCAGATGGTGTAAACAATTGGATGATAGATGACATAAACGGAGCTAAACCAAACACTCGGAGAACTACGTAAACACAAAGCCCGACAATTGCCTCCAGATGTGGTCTGTGGAGGGTGAGATTCCGAGTATCTGGCAGTGATGAGGATCGCCTGGTTATTTTTAGAGACGTAACAAGGAGGAAATCGAATTGTAGAAAATCACAAGCATTATCTGCCCCTGAGCGACTGGCGCCAAAGGTTTCGCTTACTTCTCATTCCGATCGTCCTCAATCTGCATACGAAAATAACCACAAGTGAGGGCAATTTAAAGCGTTTAACCTGCTTCATGGCAAACCAGATAAACAAGGCTGCTTATTAGCAAAACAAACAGCAGCTAAAAGCAAGTACGAACAGAGAAATCCAAAATAAATATATATCTTTACTAGCCTTTGCAAACCATTACTCGAATACTAAAAATGCCACTTTAATGAGTAGCTATATTTAACAGTAAATAATTATAAATATTTCTGTAGCTTCCAGTCCTGAAAACTAGATAAAATTCCTCTGATATTTAAAAATATAACATTTTACAAATAAAACTAAAATTAGAGTGATTTGTACCTTAGGAATTCCCGAATTCGATGACTCCGGCTTTTGAGCATATTCAGGTCAGAGAATCATTTTTTGACCGCGCCCTGAATCATCTTTCAAAACCCCAATACAGCCATGAATCAGATACGGGTTGTGCGACACATGGGGAGTGGAACCGAAGATATGTGGGCAACGTCATTGAAAATGCCCCCGAGGAAATGCTTGTGCATGGCAGCAAAGACTTCCGTTTTCTTGGGTTCCTATTGATCAGCTCTATTTATAAAGACACAGACCAAAACAGCCAACAACAATAACCGAATAAAACTAGCTTTGGGCCCGCAATTCAAGGTCGCCCACCCACCAAAAACCCGTTTCAAGGGACAGAGGGGAAGTCCACCATAATTTAAACTTCAAATCTGCTGAGCAAGCATGCAAAAAATATGAAGACCGAGCTTAAAGCGCTTCGAAATAAAATCAGAAAAAGCTTTCTCAGAAAATGAGTATAGTAAGGTATAGAGGTTAAAGTTCAACTTTTACGCTCTGCTGACCATAAAAACAATGAACAAAAGCATAACAATGGGCAGCATAACAAGTCGAAAGTGCACACAGTAAAAAATATATTTAAAAATGGTTTATTGTAAGTATTTATAGAAATCTGTATTTTATCTGTCACAATATCAACACGCGATAAGGTTTTTCGCTTTTGTATGGTATCAATTTGAAGATTACTTGATGAAGCGAACATCCGATGATTGTTTTTCTGTCTAGAGACCATAAAAGATTGTTTGTTTGTGGTTTCACTGTACAGGAAATATTTACCGAGAACAAAGGTGGTCATAGTTAAAGCCCCAAAAAAGTTATCGCACTTTTGATCTTAGCCAAGGTTTTTTGCTCCACTGCAGTTGCCTTTAAAATAGTGTTATGTACGCCGGATTTCTCAACCGAGTTATTTCTTAGAGCGGTTTTTTATTTTTTTTCCATTTGACGAGTTGTTTTTCTTTTTGGCGCGCGCTCTGCTGACGCAAAAAGCACGTACGCACACATCCAACAGATACAAAAAGTATCTGTGTAGCCATATTTTTATGTTGTTGTTAAAAATACCAACAGAAGCGCACAAAAATTTCACTTTTTGCCTATTTTCGTAACAGACGGAAGGAGGCGGTGGAGGGCGTGGCCATTACCTGGGACAGACAGGTGTGAAATATTTTCGGAGCTTCTCTTTGTTTTTATTTTTATCTAGGTATTTCAAATCCCTCGACTGCAATTGAAAGTTAGTTTACAGGCGCGGCCAAAAACAAATGCGTACCCAAATCGAAAGTGCGGATCGTAAACAAAAAAGCCCCACTAAAAGCAAAATATTTTCCAACGCAACCATATGATCGTCGGTGAATTGTTTTTAATTTGTACGCATTGCTTTTCCTTCCGTTTACTTAGTTTTTTTCCAAACGAATGGATTGTACATTTATCATCGTCATCGACTGATGAAGGTCAACAAATGACAGCCAAAGAGAGAGTGAGATCGCCGAAGACTAACACTGAGAGGGAAAGAGAGGGTCAGAGAGATCGAGTGAAGACCAGCTTTTTATGGAAGAAATGGAAACGTGACTGCGGACAGGCTTTCAATGGTGGAACGGCGGAGAATCTTCGGAGAATGCATCTGGAATTTCGTTTGTTTTGATACGTTTTTCATCACAGAATCACAGGATCTGACTTATAAATACCACATACCAAATATTTCAATATTTGGGCGCCTCATAAACTTTCCCTCAATTTTCCCGCTTTTTAGTTTCCGCTGTCTAAAACAACCTGAACCACCTTTAATAACAGTTGTCAACCCCTAAGAAACCTGAACTGTTCGACTCATTCGAATGTATGAAAGAGGTGCAAAGAACTTTGACTTTGCCCTGGGCCATAATTAACGGAAAGAAAAAGGAAATTGCCCAGCCAGTTGGCTCAAGGGTGGTTCTGCAGAGCAACCCCAAAACGCGCTCAAATCCACCCCGCTGACAGTTCGGAATTCTGAATTTTGGAATTTAAATAGTGACCCACCACAAGTGGCGGGGGGAATATCCGATGAAAAGATCTTGCAGCAGCTGCAGTGGCATGTGCTAGAAAAAAGATACGCTACGAGGGAATTTATCTCCCGATGTCCCCAGCAAACAAAGAGAACTCTATGTTTTTTCGGTAGAGAAAAGAAATAGACCTTAAACGGAAACAACAACAGAAATGGAGGGGGGAGATCAGCGGGCATTGTACTCATCGGGTATACGGGATTTCAAAACAGCACTATCAGGCGATCGACCTATGCCGAGCCTGTTTTCTGTTCAGTGTTATTTCATTTTCTAGGTTCCAGCTCTATCGCTTGTCTCGCCTATCTGTCAATGGACTTGCGATTTACATTCCATTATCTACCGATCGTGTGACTCGACCAAATTACCAAATTGCAGTGCACTCAAGCCCCCTCGGACTTTTGATTATCAACGGAAATGCAGTATAAGAATTTCCCTGACGTAAAGTGAACGTGACCGAAAGTCGGAGTCACTGGAACACGGGTGAGCGTCTGAGGAGCGTGCCCAAACGGATGATAAGCGGGTGCTAATCGCAGGGAACTCAGTCGCAGTTCAAAGTTCCAAAATAACAAAGGGACGGATACGTAACACTAGCTATTTGTTGATTTTGGGGGGAAGTATATTGAATGTAAAGAAAATGGTTAGTGATTCATTCTCTTGAAACCTAGTTTACCATGACATTCGAAATCAGTGTTTTTAGGTGATTCATTTGCCTATAAGATTGGTACGAAGGTGAAACTTGATATTAGGAATTTCACAACAAAAATAATGTTTAGAGCTATCTAGAATTCTACATTAGTAGGTGTTTCTCTGTGTAAGAAATCCCTCAAGACATAATAATTGCTTAGTCGGAACAAGTTTACCGGAGTTTGAATTACCCACGAAGAACAAAGAGTTTCCCATGGGCCTCCGTGAAGCACAAAGTTCCTCCTCCACAGGGATTTCTCTACGCGTAATTGTAGAGAATTCCCTTGGATAAAGATAAATAGAGCTTTTGCATTTATTAGCGTAATTGCTAGCCCTATCGCATTCACTCAATTACAGTTGTATCCTACACACACGCGTTATTATATCCAAGGTTCCCGACTGACATTTAGATAACTACCTGATACATTGCAATCCCAGTGATGACTTATAGACCAGGGGATTCGCTTATCAAGAAAGTTGCGGACATTTCGTAACATTCCATGACGTAAGTACCGAGGTTCGATAAAGCGATTCGATCTTATCGCCATTGTCACAAAACCCATAGAAATGCCGACAGAGAAAAAGCAGCTGCAGTACAAAAAAAAGAGGGCAGCTGCAGTTGGGAATATTGGAATTATTTCGTCACCTTTCATAAAATTGAATTAGGAAAGGGTGGGACTCGAAAAGTCGGCTGGCACGAGCTGAAAATAGGGGATTGAAATCGGTTCAGTTGAGTGCTTTTCCTGGGGGAGCTTTAAATCTCCGGGAATGGGAATGGGAATCATGGTATATGGCCTTTTTGGGATGGTCAGCTGTCGTTCAAGTGAGTTTCGGCATTGAATTTCACTTTGGGCTGTCTGTCGTTTTTGCAGACACACGAATTTAATGGCAGACTGTAACCCAAGAAAACAGGTAGAAAGCAGACGGCTTCTGGTAAAAAGGCGCCTTACTAAACCGCCAGTGGAAGACCAATAGATGACAGATGGATTTCGGTTTATTTAGCCTGAAATTCGCTTTTGTTTGACGAGTTCCAATTTTTTTAAAGAACCTTTTTGTAACATTTTTGGTGATTTAATATCAAAAATCTTAAAGTTAGGAATTTATATAATATTAATAGTTTGATTTAGAAAATCCATATATAAAATACTGTTATTTTCAGGGTGTTTATAAAAGTGACCCCCTAGCTGGACATTGTCACCTAAGGGTTAAAGGTAATTCTCCTCTCTTTTTTCACCGTTTCTCTTCTCTCTCGTTCCCCAAAGAAGGTGGGAAAAGAATAGAAGAAGACCTTTTTACATGTAAACAAGTGTGAAGAGGAATAAATAAAACAACGGTACAGCAACACCCACACACAAACACCCAACCAAGTACATATTTCATTAGTATGCGTGCGTGGGGGTCGTTTTATGCGATGAATTTTTTTATTTTGGAGGCTATGGAAAATATGAAAATCAACAAATTAAGCAATTCTGTGCGAGTTTGCGACTGCGCAACAAATTGAAATCAACAAATATGACCCAGAAAGCAAACTAAAAGCGCTGAAGGTGAAATCGACCAAAGGAGAAACGGTATACAAGACGGAATGCAATAACAGTTGTTAATTGTGTGTTTCAGAAACAAGTTGCTTCTTGAAATTAAGCAAAAGTGTTTTTTGAAACAAAACAAGTAGTTTTTGTTCGTCTTACATATTTTATTTTGGCTGACGCAATTTCAAGCCCGCGCACGCACACTTGCAAGCCAATCGACTTGCTGCAGCGGTGTGCGTGTGTGTATGAGGCAAAATCCGAATGGGAACACAACACACACACAAAGTCTTTGTTTGCAGTCCGCGGAACTTTGGAAGTGGAACACTTTGATTGTGGAAAGCAGAGGGGGAAAAGAACAACAAAGGGGCCAAATGTAAAGTAAAACAATTGACGCAAATTGGAAATAACACAGATATGCAAATAGGGGGAGGCAATAGGAATAGTTTTTCCAGACGGAAAAAGGGGTGTCAAACAAGTAGCCAAACAAAGGCGCACGTACATGTTTGTTGTACAGCTTGCATAAAAAGCACAGCCCCACATACACGCATACTAGTCCAAGCAGCATAGTTCCCCCACCCACCCCCTTGTCCATCTATCTCGCTCGCTCTCTAAGCAACGACCTATGAATAGCGGACCCCAAACCCCACTCTCTCGCTCACACACACAAACACCAGCCAAACAGCTGTGAAACGAACTGGAAGTGGAACAAACACGTAAATGAACGAATTTTGTATGTATGCCTAAATATATATTATTCTCTTTTTCTACAAACAAAATCATCTGATGGATGACGAAAAAACAGGAACCTTGATTTTCTTTTTGCATTTTAGCGACTTTTAAATATATGTGTACTGAATTTCGCTTACGTTTTTACAGCCATTTTGATGTTTTTGTGTTGCGCAGGAATGTTGAGATGAATTTTGTTTAGTTGAGAATTTTGGCTTCTATTGCACTCGAAAATAAGTGAATAAGTTGGCTGGCAGCTCTTGTGTTTGCTTGATCAATTCTTGCGTCAGTTGGATAGTTCGCTATAAAACCTTGTCGTTTGCCATTTAAGCTAGATGTTAACTAATTTGTACTGCGTTTGTATCACAATTGGAACTCTGTTTATTAGGCTGGCATTTTCTCCTCGGTTTTCCCGTTTGCGGATCGATTTTTCCCACACACACCAGGCTAAAAGTGCTTGGGACTTTTCTCCATCAGCTGTGCATCTTCCTTATCCTTTTTGCAGCTCAATCACGCTTCAGCAAAGCTTTGTACATTCGATGCATCGATTTTCTCACTTGGTCCTTTCAAATTTCTATTTTCTATTCCTAGGCAAACGAACACACTCAAACACTCGCGCTCGCTAAAACGGTACTTCTTGGCTTTGTTTTTTTTCTTCGAATGACGAATTGGGGATGTGAAAAATATATCAAAGTATCAAGATATCGATAAGCTGAAGAATAAAATATCGATATTTCCAGCGATTTTCTAGCAGAACTGTTAAGATACGTTTTAACAGCGACAGCTCTATAATCGCTCGCGATAACACGAATGTTAAAGTTCAGTGTTGCCAGATTATGGTAAGTTAACATAAGCGAGAATCGATTCTCTTGGTCATGTTAAGTTAACATAACTCTGTCCGGTTATCGAATTTAAATTCGATTAAACAAACCCGCCAAAATGAAGAATATTTTTACATTCAAATACACTTATTCAAAATCAATTTCTTAGGGTCAAAGTGTTTGATTCTAAATATTTAAATTCAAATGTTCATTTAAATCTTTTGCAAAAAGCAAACTGTAATTAAAAAATCCAAAAATCAAAATCAAATTTATCATAATATATGTTGATATTTGTCGGAGCACTTATTATTTTTATATTTTATTTTTAAATAATTGAAGAAAATATTATTATGAAGACCTATTTTAAGGGTGCTAGTTAGAAGAGTAAATATGTTTGTATAAATCAACGGAAGCCGTTAAAATGTTTTAGATTTATTTAACGTCTTTGCTTGGGTGGGAATCGGAAACTTCCTGCATATTTCACAATCAATGTCAATGCCAAATTATTTATTTACCCTCCCGAAACCGAAATTCCGATGAGATTAGTGAATCAAAGACGCAGTTCTGATAAGATCTCAGCATAGAAACTACGCCGTGAATTATTTTTATGGATTTTTAAAAGTAATGGAAAGAAATGAATTTTCCGACGAAAGGGAAATTGTTACTGTTGCCAAGTGGACTTTTTAGTAGGAGAAAGGGGAGGGGGTGGTCTATTTCAGGGCCTCCATACACACACACATGCACACTTCTAGAAACAACCTGTCACACAACTTTTGATGAATGAATTTCTACTACTGAAATTTCGAAGTGAAAACTGTTCAATGGGAACAGAAGTACTAGAATTTTACTTGTTGCACAAGCTATTTACTCATTGATTTTCCCCAATCGCAGAGATAAGAAACTTTCCTCGATTTCGTCACGCACACACACACACCATATAGGAAAAACGCGTGGCGATTGATTTTTAACCATTTAAAAGTTCGTTTTACGCATGGAACAGCCCGCGAAATGAATGTAGGTCGGTGGGGATAATCTCAGGGCACTTACCCGGATGCCTCTGCGTTTTGATCAGTATCGGTTTTTCTTCCTTCTTTTCTCCAAAAAAATATAAACTTATTCTCAAATTAAATTTTCGAGAACTGACCAAGCTCGGAGTTTGGCGAAATCCTCGCAACGCGTTTCCGGCGCTGCTGGTCCGGCAACGCCGTGGGGAGGGTATTCGCGAAACGGTCACTCTACACAGCCGCAACAAAATAAAGGAGAAAAAAGGCAAATTGGGTGGAAAACTGGATTTCGTCGGGCAGAATATTCTACCATCGAGTTTCTCAAGCAGCTAATAGAGTGCAAGCCATGAAAGTTTCCGGAAAAACAGCGAAAACGAGTATCTAGCAAGGATTTGAGAAGGAAACTTCTTGCCCTGTGTGTGTGTGTGCAGTGCGTGTGCCTGTGTGCGTGAAGAAGGAGGAGGTGGAGTGGAGACGGAGGAGAGGAGTTTTTCGCAGGGAAATTACGCCAACTTTGTGGGAGTTCAAGCCGCCGTGCGTCGGTGTGTGTGTGTGCAACACAACACCCCCCAAGCCCACGCACACAAAGCCAGCCAACCGCCGTTTGTTTTGTGCTCACATTCGCGTGCCGCCTTTGTTTGGCTCTCCTCTGGCCGTGATTCTCCTTCTCCGTCTTGTTTTTATTCGCATCCGCCGGCTTCGATAACGGTAGTTCCAGTTCCCACCCGGAACCCACCGCCCACCCCCCTTCCGGATCCGGAGCCAGCAACAACGCCGCCGTGGATGCCCATGCTCGCACTCTGGGAGGACTCTCCCAGGACTTTGGCATGGGCGGCGGCCCGGGGGCGGGTCCGCCGGCCCACATGTACGGCGCCGTAGCCCCGCAGGACAGTAAGTCGATCCCAATCTTTAAACCTCTGTGCACCATTCACTCGATATCCCGCCTTTAAAAAAAATATATATGTATGTATATGTAAGATCATTTGTAGATCAGTGTGGTTTAGTTTACGATAGCCAGTCCTAAGATCCTACTTGTAAATTGATAAGACTTACTAAGAAAACTATAGAATACTTAAAGATGTATACAACTTATTTGGATTTTCAATTTGAGTTATGTCAATAGATCATTGGCTTTTAAAGGAAACATGAAAAATGTAAATTAATAAATATCGTGAATGGGACACAGTAGATCTAATCACTCCTTAATTCCAACTCTAACTAATAACTCCCCTTACCCACAGTAATTGTCCGGGACATGGTGCAAATGCCGCCGCCGCCCTCGAACGCCCCCACATCGGCGGACGCCTGCCTGAGCATCGTCCACTCGCTCATGTGCCATCGGCAGGGCGGCGAAAGCGAAGGATTCGCCAAGCGGGCCATTGAGTCGCTGGTCAAGAAGCTGAAGGAGAAGCGCGACGAACTGGACTCCCTGATAACGGCTATCACCACAAACGGAGCCCATCCCAGCAAGTGTGTGACCATCCAGCGCACCCTCGACGGTCGACTGCAGGTGAGAGGGACTCCCCATTTGGCCATTGGATGTTCGGGTGACTCAGGTTGCCGATAGTAGGTACTGGTCTTATCGGAGATGAGTGTCCGGGTTGTTTGTCCGCCGAATTTCCGGCTATCCGATAGCGTTTCTGGGTAACTCAAGACGGGACGAAGAATCGAACAATCAGAAAATACACTCTAATGAGCAGAAGAATATGACTGAATTCATTTCACAGACTTATTTTACAGTAGAATAATAGTACAAGTATTAATACAAATGCATTCTGTATTCAATCAACAGGTAGCCGGTCGCAAGGGCTTTCCGCACGTGATCTACGCCCGGATTTGGCGCTGGCCCGACCTGCACAAGAATGAGCTCAAGCATGTCAAGTACTGCGCCTTCGCCTTCGATCTCAAGTGCGACTCGGTGTGCGTGAATCCCTACCACTACGAGCGCGTCGTCTCGCCGGGCATCGATCTGTCCGGCTTGAGCCTGCAGTCCGGCCCCAGTCGCCTGGTGAAGGACGAATACTCAGCGGGTCCGTTGGTGGGCAGCATGGACATCGATGGGAATGACATCGGCACCATACAGCACCATCCCACGCAAATGGTGGGACCCGGCGGCTACGGATATCCACAGGGACCCTCTGAATATGGTAGGACCACAGTTCTTTGCTTAAAGTTGGTAGAAATTGGAGGGAATTGAATTGGAAATGTTGTACTTGCTTTTATTTTCTTGATTTTAAATATTTAATATTTTACTAATTTCTTTCAATTTCTTTTCCTTATTTAATATATTCGTTTACCTTTGTTTCTTTTTTGGCCTTTGTGTTGACCTTACGTAGTTGGCGATGCCAATCCCATGAGTGCAATGTTTCCCAGCGGGCGCACAATACCAAAAATCGAGCCGCAGGATGGTGTTGCTGGGTCGCGTGGCTCGTGGATGGTGCCACCTCCCCCGCGGCTCGGTCAGCCCCCGCAACAGCAACAGCAGCCGCAGCAGCAACAACAACCCCCGCAGCCCCCTCAGCAGCAGCAGCCTCAATCCCAGGCAGCTGCTCATCCGCTTTGTAAGGATGTTGATTCATTTTAATTTATTTCTTTATTTATTTTATTTATATTTATTTTTATAAAGCTAGCTTAAAGTTAAAACTATAGGCTAACTAAATTAAGAGCTCTAGCAGCTAAGGCCTTCAGCTCATCTGAGGTGTGGGATTAACATCGTTTTTATATACATTTAAATTTTAAACTTAATTTGGGCTTTTTCAAGAATTTTCTTCTTTTGTTATTGGTTTAAAGCTTAACGAATAGTTTTTACAAATTCGTTTCTTAACTTAATTTTAATTTCGTTTTCCACTTTCCCTCTATTTTCAGCTGTACCTCATGGTATGCCGGGCATGCCTGGTCCCATGAACCCCGGTCCCGTTATGGCGCCCCCACCTCCGCCTCAGGCTCAGAATCCCCAGGGCAATGGGGTCCACCATACCCAGGCCAACTCGCCCACAGATCCCGCCTCCGCATTAGCCATGCAACAGCAGCAGCAACAACAACAGCAGCAGCAGCAGCAACAACAGCAGCAACAGCAGGCAGGTGGTGTGCCCAATGGGGCGGTCAATGCCAGCGGTGGAGCAGCCCCTGGAGGACAGTACTATGGACAGCCACCTCCAGGGAGTCAGATGCAAGGTGCCGGCGGCGGTGGCTCCTCTGTTCCTCCGCCCGTCCACGCCCAGCAAAATGGCTATGTGTCGCAGCCGGGATCCGCGGGTACAGCTCCCGTTGGAGGAGGCGGTGTCTTTGGTACAGCTCAGCCCACCGCGCAGCAGGCACAGCAACCACCGACCGGAGTGCAAGCCAATGCTGGATCAGCTGGGGCCCAAGCCGGCGGAGGAGGCGGTGCGGCAGGCACCTGGACAGGACCGAACACTCTCACCTACACACAGTCCATGCAACCACCCGATCCGCGCTCCTTACCTGGCGGATTCTGTAAGTCTAGCTCACTTAACCGATGGTGCAATTTTTAACAGTTTATCTTTCTTTATCAGGGAACTCAACGCTGCCGGGTGACCTCGGATCCCCTCAACAGACGCCCCCGCAGCAGCAACAACAGCAGCAGCACCCTCGCCTCCTCTCGCGTCAGCCGCCGCCGGAGTACTGGTGTTCCATTGCCTACTTTGAGCTGGACACGCAGGTGGGCGAGACCTTCAAGGTGCCGTCGGCGAAACCTAACGTCATTATCGACGGCTATGTGGATCCCTCGGGAGGCAATCGTTTCTGCCTGGGCGCCTTGAGCAATGTTCATCGCACAGAGCAATCGGAACGTGCCAGGTGAGTAGATCTTAGTAGGTGTAACTCAAGCAGCAGGAATAACTCAAGGTTTTCTTGCAGGCTGCACATCGGCAAAGGCGTGCAGTTGGATCTGCGTGGCGAGGGCGACGTCTGGCTGCGCTGCCTCAGTGACAACTCAGTGTTCGTACAAAGTTATTATCTGGATCGCGAGGCGGGACGGACTCCTGGCGATGCAGTGCACAAGATTTACCCGGCTGCGTGCATCAAGGTGGGTGTTGAAAACGAGATACTAATTGATTTTATTAACATGTTTGTTCTCCACAGGTTTTCGACCTGCGCCAGTGCCACCAGCAAATGCACTCGCTGGCCACCAATGCTCAGGCAGCGGCCGCAGCTCAGGCGGCAGCCGTGGCCGGAGTGGCCAATCAGCAGATGGGCGGCGGAGGCAGAAGTGAGTTCTCTGCCGATAAACTTGCTATGGAGCAAACTAACCCCTTGATTTCCCGTTTTTCAGGCATGACAGCAGCAGCAGGCATTGGCGTGGACGATCTGCGCCGGCTGTGCATCCTGCGACTAAGCTTCGTCAAGGGCTGGGGACCCGACTACCCACGTCAGTCCATTAAGGAGACGCCCTGCTGGATCGAGGTGCACTTGCACCGCGCCCTCCAGCTGCTTGACGAGGTGCTCCACGCCATGCCCATCGATGGTGCCTCTGCCTAATCCGTATTTAGTATCGGCCCACATCTACGTTAAGGACTCAGTTGTAGCAGCAGCTATCCGGCAGCTATTGGCGGACTTTCGGTTTTTCATTTGCAATTCTGATAACGATTATGTTTGCCTTGGATTATTTAATAATGATTTTTATAAAAAATTGAAACAATTTAGCAGTCTTAAGTCTTAAGTATGCAGCTGTAAAGCACCAAGCATCTAGTTTTATGTACCATACTTAAATATACATACACACACGCGACACCGGAGATAATTGACAAGAGGCACGAGTTTGTTGCCCATTTCCTGCCACGAAAATCACGACAAGAAGCATACACAGCATTACAATCATCCATGCCACAGGGCGAAACAAAATAAACATCGATGCACCCATAAATACATAAACTTGATGTAAAATGCAACATAAATAAGGCAAGCGAAACAAGTAGTTGTAACATAAGTGTAATAAACAAACCATAAAATAATGATTCCAAGGGGTTCTTGATTTTCTTGGCTTAAATAACGTGGTTATTATTTTATTTTTTAAATTATCAATCGTTGAAACACAAGGATTCGATTAGGGGTCTTTATCATCAATACTTTAACCCCCTTTTAATATTATAATTTGCTCATTTGGCGCTGAATCCTATACGATTTAATTAAATCTAAATCAGAAATACTGGAGAAGACCATTATTTATAGTAAATTGTAAAAATAATTTATTGTCAATCTCAGAGTTTAACAAAACTGGGAATTGTTCCTCTAATAGCTTTCGATACGTAGTTCCACCTGTTTGTCCAGCCAGCTGATCCAATCTGGAGTGATGGAGCGTTCCAGGGTGACCTCGTGAAAGACCTCCACTCGAGCAGTCTCCACAAACTTAAAACTCTCGAATAAATGCAGGGAAGTAGTGTTATCCATGTCGATCTTGACCTCGAATTTAGCCAGTTTCAGCTTTGACTCGGACTGGGCGTACTTGAGCATGAGGAGCATGGCTTCGCGGCCGAATCCCTTGCCCCTCGCATTGGGTTCCGCAATCATGATCTCCGCCTCGGCCACCTGGTGGTCGCTATCCGGATCTTGGTGGAGGAAAAGGTTGGTGTCTCCCACCATGGCAGCTATTTCGTCCTGATCACGGGAGTAGAGCTCCGCATCCAGGATGATGAAGGTCAGCTTATCGTCGTCCTCCCGCCAGCTCCTCTGCATCGCGTACTCTTCGTCCAATGTGAGTTCCTCGGAGGCGGTCAACTGCCGGAGTTCCTCGTTGCTCATCCACTCGTGGTATTTCAGGACGTGGCGGGCCTCATAGGGAACCAGGATGATCCTGCGGCCCAGTATTTTCGTCTTTTCGTTAAGGTGCATTTTGTTACTAGAAATTTATAAAGGTAATTGTTGTATATGCGGTTTGTTTACACCAATCAGCTGTTGACGTTATCTTATCGCCCCATTTAAGGCAGGGATTTTTTAAACTCTTTGTCAGAGTTCTAACCCCGTTTAGTGTAGTTTTAGTTCGAATTAATCTATACTAAGAGGAATTTATGCATCTTTTTTGACCAATAGATGACATTATATTGTTTTACTTTAGGAGGAATCCCCCATTTGCATTTCAAACAGCTGATGGCGTTAAACCAGTCTGGCAACGTTGCCGATAACATGCAAACAGAAAAGAGCGTATAAATACTTGTTTAAATAAAATCAATTTAATTAAACTGAATTTGATGCGATGTCACTTCATAATTGCCGCACCTGCGGCAAGTTCATCTTTTCTGCGACGCCCAAGAATCTCTTCCAGGAGCCCGATTCGGTAACGCTGCACCAGATCGAGGCTTTGACTGGGTTGTTTGTGAGTGGTGTTTTCTATTTTGGAGATATGAAATGTAGCTTTTACTTAAAACCCAATTATCCACAGTTACTAGAGGGATCGGGGGAGGCGCTTCCCGTCCTTATCTGCGCACTCTGCGAAAAGGAGCTGCAGGAAGCCATATCCTTCCGGGAGCGTGTGATCCTCACTCAGAAAACGCTGCAAAGCAGTGTCAGCAATGAGGCAGTCTTGGATTTGAACGAATCCAATGTTGAAGAGTTTGTTGAAGAGGTCACCGAAGTGGAGGTTATAGACATGCTGCTGGAGGAGCAGCCGCTGCAGAGGGAGGAGCCAGAAGAGGGAGTTGTCCAGGAAAAGGAGCAGCCCCAGGAAAAGAGTACGACGCAGGAGGAGCATCGAAGAATCCCACCCAAAAGCACACCCCCTGTTTGCACCTCTGTGAAGTTTGCGGACAACAGCCAGGACAATAATCGCCACAGACCGCGAACACAGTGGGACAGACTCACCGAAGACGAGGTGGTGGCCCTAAAACGGGAGCGCCGCAGGAGGGAGTGCATCTGCGAGCAGTGCGGTCGACACTTCTCCTGCCCCAGCAACTTCAAACTGCACCTGCTGCGCCACACCGGGGAGAAGAGATTTGCCTGCGACCAGTGTCCCCAGAGGTTCTACACCGCCACACTGCTGCGGCGCCATCAGGAGGTGCACTCGGGCACTGCCCCATATCAGTGCCGCTACTGCGAGGTGTCCTTCAACAACGCCACCGGACGCGTCCAGCACGAGCGCAGGTATGCCACTAGTTTCAATCATATCCTAATGGACATGTCCGACTGCTTTTGGAAGTATGAAAAGTATCTTTACTTATCTAATGTTTCTACTGACAGTCGCCATACACATCTCAAGCCATTTAAGTGCAAAGAATGTGACAAAAGCTTCGCCATGAGCGGCAAACTCCGGATGCATATGCTCAGTCACACCGGAGTGCGGTCGTTCCAGTAAGATCCCAAAGTTATTTTATGAGGATTACTCACCTAACAATATATATTTCAGCTGCGAGTCCTGCAAAGTCTCCTTCGTCCGCCGCTCCCATTTAGTAACCCATTTCCGATCCAAGGGGCACGCCCAAGTTGCGGGCACCCAGGAGGCGGTAGAAAAAACTCTGGAACTTGACGTGGAAACTGTGCCAGAAGCTGGTACCTAAACAAATTCAGCCTATAGGTTTGGCTCAGTTCATTGGGCACGATAAGTCAAATCGGAACACGAAACCCTAACTGAAAACTGATGTTTTTCAAATCTGCTCCAGAATGTAATGATTGGATCCGAATCTCAACATATAATAATTGTGTTGGCAGCTTGAGTATGCTCAGCGGTGAATTATGATTAGGTTTTATAATAAGTTAAATTAATATTAATGCGGAAATCGAATCTGCAAAAAGTGACTGTGTTGTAGAATGTTAATACATGTATTTATAAATTTGTTCAATAATGGTACATCTAAAAATATTATTTAATGTATTTTCTTCTCAAATCAAATTTTAATCATTTTGGCACCACATTCTTACACCCTATGCAAATTTAGAATATGTTCCAAAACATTTTTAAGTAATCCGCCAAAGTCTTGCAAAGCATCGACGAATCGCTTAGCATCGATAACATTGCAAGCATCGATAGATATCGACCAAAAACATCGATTCTCGCCTAATGTCTTTTACCATCACTAAACTAAATTAGGGGGCGTCTTTAAATTGCAAAATCCTTGCAAAAGCCGTAAAAATGTGTATAAAGCTGCAATAAGTATAGATCCTAAGACCAAACATACTCCTCCGGAAGATAAAGCCCGGAACAGCTAGTAAACCCAATTTGAAAAAGTGCTTATCTGTTCGGCGTCCGCTTTGGCAATTTGCAAAGCTGCATGTGGTGTTTGTTTCGTTTGTTTGGTTATTTTACATAAATAACTTATCTTCTAAGAACTCCGGTTCGTAATAGAATTGCGCAGCTTTTGCTTTGGGGTTTTGTCCAACAGACCAGGCAGAATCCATCGCGAAAGACGCAGCAAGTAGCAACGTTTTTGAATCGCGAAAGTGCAGTCGACGTAGCAGATTTTCCTCCTCCGGCGGGGCTTCTGGCTTAACCAATGTGGCACTTCCAATGAGAAATCAATTGCAAGGCGTTGGATGCTCTCAGTATTGGTTATTGGCGAGATTGGCCCCGAGGCAGCATCACTAGGTCTAGACAGTTCCGATCAGTCCGAGTTAAACCCCCCGTTCGATTTAGACAAACACATCCAATGGCGGAGAAGCAGACGACCGATGCCCCCGAGGCTGGACAGGATCGCAAGAGACCCCGGCTGGAGGACGAGCAGCAGGAGCTCAAGGTGGCCGGCTTCTCGCTGAGTGCCATCGAGGAGATGCGACAGACCCGCGACAACGAGCTCCAGAACGAACCCATGGACCAGCAGCTCCGGCAGTTCCAAGTTCTCGACGAAGTCGGTTCTGGCAGCGACGAGGATGATGAGTCAGGTGAGTGGGGAATGACCCTAAGATAATTCTACACGGGAAATAATAATCAAGTCCTCCTAGAATTCATGGGGGAATATACGTGTATAATCTAAAACTTACGGTTTTAGGGATAAATTATCAGAATGTTATGATGGATTACATTTTAGAATAGAATTTTTTATTCCCATATATACAATAAAAATAATTTCGTATCGTAATAGATACACATAGATACATATATTTATGATATGGAAAAACAAATTAGGGTTAGGTGACACATTACAGATTTCACCATGGTCCGATTTCCTATAGCCAGATGTCCTAGATCACACGGTTCAACATACAAAATTGGGTTTACAGTAATCCAATTTTGTTTTCCAGTGCACGCATAGTTCTTATCTCGAAATCTTGAAGTCCTATCATTGTTCAAACACATGAGGCTGATAAAAGAGGGCAGCCGGTAGGTAAAACCATGATACACCAGCTTCAGTTTTTCCTTAGCTTCTTGTAAGGCAGGTGGTGGCTGATTTTGTGGGCATCTCCATGCGCATGATACCAATTATCCGACTGGCTTGCCCAGCTAAATCAGGTATAGCTAGTAGAAAAGGTCCCATTTAGTCAAAATTAAGCAAAACTTGATTCTCCAACCTCAAAACCTAAAAGGCATATCGTTTCCAAATTAAAGAAGGTCATGGTAAAACTAGTACTCTAAATCATCCGTAAAATTGTCTGTGACGAGGGGCGATCAACTCCACGGCGGGCTTCGCATTTCCCAGATAAACAGACAGCTTATCTAAACAGTGGTTGTATCTCCTTACATGGCAACCAGACGATGCCAGCGAGCAGCAGGGTGGAAGGTATGGAGAAGGAGGCGACGAGGAGGATGAGGCAGCGGATGGCGAGGGCGATGAATACGATTCCTCAGAATTTGATGACGAGGAGATCGAAAATCTGCTGGACGAGAAGCTGCCCGACGAGCTGCGCGAGTCCAAGCAGCCCAAGTACGAGCAGCGTTTCAAGACTGTGTTAGAAGGTTAGTGATCTTTACTTAGCCATGGATCCCAGAATAACCAGCTCTTGAATGATCTTCCTCAGAAAAGCGCCTGAACCACTTTGAGGTGCTGCCCGAGGGCTGGGTGCAGGTGACCCACAACAGTGGTATGCCCCTCTTCCTGCACCGCAAAACACGCGTGTGTTGCGCCTCGAGGCCTTATTTTCTGGGCACGGGAAGTGCCCGCAAGCATGCCGTGCCTTTGGGAGCAATTCCATGCCTTAACTACAGGCGGGCTTTGGAGGAGGAGTCAGAGGCGGAGCAGCAGAAAACGGACGGGTCTCCTTCAGCGGCAGTTTGTCCCATAACAGGAGCTGTAGCTTCACTCACAGAACCGATGGATGTGGAGGGGAAAGAGAACAATGAAGCCAGCTCTGAGACCAAGTCTCAACAAGAGGGCTTAACTGCCTTAATGCCAGCTGCCAAAATCGTCACGGTTAACGAGAATACCCAGAAGGAATCCATAACACCGGATCAACTTAACTCCTACTGCCAAAAGCTCTTCAAGTTCAAAGTAATTCGTGTGTTGCGTTTCCGGAGCTGGAATGCCCGCCGGAAGTTCACCAAGAACCGCAAGCACATCAAGAACATACAGAGGCCCACTCTGCCCGATGGCACTAAGCTCATTAAATTCCCCATTTTGGCGGCAGCTGGTGAGGGGTCAACGAATACGCGCGGTCGGAAGGAGTGGATCATGAATCCCAATGGCAAGAGCTTTGTCTGCATCCTGCACGAGTATGTGCAGCATGCGCTGAAGACGCAGCCCACTTATGAGTTCAAGGAGCTGCAAAATGCAGCCACGCCCTACTCGGCCACCGTGTCTGTGAATAATCTCAAGTATGGAACGGGCTATGGGACCAGTAAAAAGCAGGCCAAGTCTGATGCGGCGCGGGAGACGCTGGAAATACTCATTCCCGATGTCAAGGACAAGATAACAGGCAACAACAAGGACCAAAAGAGCGGCACCGCGAAGAAGGCACAGAGCGACCTGTCTGTAAGCAAGATAACTACTTTAATTGATTTGTGAATAGTTTATATTGTCGTTTATTATATTTGTTTTGTTATTTATACCGTAATTAATCTATCTAAATGAAACTGTTTTAAGAGTATTTCAAGGTTTTAGTTTTAATTTAGCTATGCTAATTTCTTGTAGGTTTTTGATGACATTCGTATTGAAGATCCGCGAGTCACCGAATTCTGTAATAAGACAACGGAGCCCTCTCCCAACGCCATTCTCCTCACTTGCTTGCAGCGCAACTACGGCAGTGATGTGCAGATCAACCAGGAGATCAACCGAACGGCGAACAACAAGAATGAGTTCACCATGACCGTGGGCAAACACACGGCCAAAGTGGTTTGTAAAAACAAGCGGGAGGGCAAACAATTAGCTTCACAAGCTATTCTCCAGGTAAGCAATGATCAGCTCATTTATAAATCTTGTTATAACTTGTTTATCCTATTGGCAGATCCTGCATCCGCACATCCAGACCTGGGGCTCTCTACTACGCCTGTATGGCAACAACTCCATAAAGACCTTCAAGGAGAAGAAGCTGGAGGAGCAGGAGATCACCGTGCTGCAGAGCAAGGCGGCAGTAAATCAGCCCAACTATGCCATTTTGGACAAACTCAAGACCGAGATGCTCAAGCTGTGCGCCAAGCAGGAAAGTGTCCTCACCATGGGCACTTTTGTCCCGCCCAGCGATGTGGATCTGCCCACTTCCTCCGGGTCCAATCTGAACAACGTCGAACTCTGATTGGGGGACATACAATCTCTCTTACCAACTCCAATTCTCTAGTAGTGCATGACAACCTCCCAGTCTCTCAGTTACCCAGTTCCATATTCGAAATGCTTATGACAACAACGACGCGTTCTCTAGAGGCACACGAACTGATTCCAAATCGGCCTTAATCATTAAAGCAATAGTAGCGAGCCAATCCAAGCTGGCTAATAATGAACAATTACTCATCAAGTGGCTTTAACAAGTGGCCAAAAGTGAAGAACAATTGCTAATCAAGTGGCTTTACGTTAAGGTAAATCCATTATTAAATTTGCCAAATATTAGTAGTTCATGTTTGCAATAGTTAAGACGAGGGGGTTACGATTTCATATTATACAGATATAAGCTTGAATAAAAGATATTTTAAAAACAAAAATATATTTGATTACAGTAATGGTTGTTGACAAGATGCATCATCAACTAACGTAGAAGTTTAAGGTCAACTTATTAAATGCAATAAGCACGTGCTTAAAACGTATTCCTTTATCATTAGCCAACCTGTTAAATGTCTTTATATACACATTTTTATTTGCTCTCCAGAATTATAAATTTGTTTTTAAATCAGAACATCATACAAAAATGGTGTAATTTATTCAGTTTTGGCAGACAGCCTGGCAATTATATGTCCATATTGTAAAAATATTTGTTTACCTAATCTTCCCGTAAATCTTCTCGTATCATTTTCATATTTTAAAAAGCCCAAACACCATTGACCTTTAACCAATTTGGTAGACTTTTTAAAAGTCGTATAAAATTAAAAAAATGGAATATTTACATGGCCATTAGGGGGTGTTGGGGTGATACTGGGTGTGGGGGTCGTCAGGTGAGTGGATGTAAATATTTAAAGGCAGAACAGAGTGTAGGTTCGTAGGTGTGTGTGCGTGCAATTATTTAAAAGACGATGCAGTCATAAATTATGCTACATTTTCATTTCATTCTAACGTTTCCTTTTTTATAGCATTCCAACGAGCGTGGCACACAGACATATTTATAAAGGAGACGGCGGAGAGAGTCGAGAAAGTGCGGAGAGAAAGCGAGGAGAGAGCGGCGCAGGCGCAGACTCCCGGATTTTGCGCAGCAGCCCTGCTACGAGATGAATTGTGGCGAATTTTGACTTGCCAATTCGCAGCCCGTATCTGTATCTTCAGTACGGATTCTTCGCGTGGCGAGAAAAGCACTTCCCGGCGCTGCTGTCTTCAGGACTTTCGTCGGCGATTTATAATTAAATCACAGTAACTCGGGACAGACCGAAAAAAACGGAGAGCAAAAAACAGAAAGCTTAAAAGAGAATTCGGGGGGTTAAGCCTCAAAACCCCAACTGCAGTGGAGAGCAAAATCATTTTTATTGACATTCATCTTAGTTGCTGTCGCCCGTCGCCTGTCAATGTCCCTTTATCCCTCGGTACACCCCAAAAACCCCACTTTATAGCCCCCTAAGTCCCCCGATTCCCGGTACTCGTGTGTCGCGTGTTGCAAGTGCGTGGGTCTCCCATCAAATCACTGGATATATCAAGCGGTACGACACGCGCGCCGTTTTTGATTTTTCGCTTAGCGGCACAGAAATTGGGTCTCGCAAAAAAGTACGGAGAATCGCTTGAAAGGAAGGGAATATTCGGAAAATAAACGGAAAATCGGGTACACACACAAACACGCACTTGTACATTGTGTTTAATGCATTTGGCCCGTCTGGCCTAAGCAATTCGGAGATATGTAAATTATGCCAAATTCTATTGGAATTTTTGTCAACGCCAGTGAATTGGTAAACAGCAGCCGCCGGAGCAAGAGGAAGAGCGGGTCGCAGGACGCGGGACGCAGGACGCAGGACTAAACCAACAGTAACAGCAACAAGGACAGGAGCAACAGCAGCAGAAGCACCAGAAGCAGCAACAAAACTGGAGGTAAGCGGTAGCGCAAGGCGCCAAGTGTCAGCGGAGAAGCTGGAAAATTCAATAATCCGCCGCAGGGCGCCCAATTGTCCCCCATACACACGGTTCCCCTCTATGCGCCCGTACCCCGAAAAACCCACTCCACGTTTCTCATCTGAGCGCATACCGAATGAATATATGCACAGGCAGAAAAAATTTAAGTTGAGGGTGCTACTGAAATCACAGGGGTTTTCAAAAGTAAGCAATGATATGTTTAGCATCCAAAAGTTTAAGATCGATTCCGAAAGATTACGTCCTGTGTTTCTCTTTAACTTTTTATAACTAAGTTTAAAACCCCAGAGGTCTTTGTGACACCCTCCCATACTTAAAAATAGATTGCCACTGCTGTGATGTGAAACTATGATGAAAACTTAGTTGTTAATACTATTATTTCCCACATAAGCATCATAAGACCAATTATCCAAAATAAACAAATTGTAGGACTACAAAATAAAACCTCTAGGTTTATACAGATTTTGGCATTTAATATTATCAGCTGTCATACTAAACACATGTATAATAGGTAATATTTAGTAGTAAACTTTGGCCAAATACATGTTGGGTAGCATTCTCTTAGTACTGATACATTTTTCTCCTTGTGCAGTTACATGTTACATATAGTATATTCGCTCGGCTTTGTCGTAGTCTGTTGCGTCCAAAAGTAGGTTGACTTCGGTCTGGCTGGGTTTTTGGGATTGGGTCTGCTCTGTTTTGCGTTTAGCAATGGCTTTTGTTGCTCTGCGTTGTTGCCGATTGCCGCTCGATATTCATTTAGTTTCAGTTCTCTTGATGTTTGGTTTCGTTTTCACTTCGAGCTAATTTTAGGGAAATAAAGAAAATAACAGGGCGAAATGTGGACACACTGTATTTGTTTACTTCGAGGACCGCCACTTCCTGGGGGAACAAGGGTCCTTTGAAGTTGTGATAAGCAAATCCAGGTAATGCAATCGTCCCAGGACCCTGGGCTTCCATTTAAGGGATTCCTTTTTTTGCCGAAACAAAGACATTTCCAGAGAACTCCCAAATTATGGACCCATCCTAATACATTTTCTTCTTCCTTCTGGCCTCCGCCAAGTTGACCTATTCCACTTTCATTCATCAATATTTAAAAAAATGTATTTTCTCTTCAATTCCGGTTGACGACATTCGCTTCCATTAGATACAGAAGCTTGGGCCGAGAAACCTTTATTTCTCCCTCATTTACACTTGGTTAATGTCTTCAAAATCGATTATATAGTCCCTCGCTTTATGGGTTTCTAATCTTTATTGCTGGGTTTTTGGGTTCCCGAAGTGACATGGCCTTTAACAGCATTTCGGCTTCAAAGCGCTGATAAGTGTGCTATAAAAGTGGAAACACTTGAATAATTCATGAAACTTCCCTTTTGTACAAGTTTGATTTGTTAAAAATATTTGTCAGTGATATACAAGTGGTAATCCCAAAAATCAGTGCAGACATTTTCCACATTTAAAGGCCACATGGGAACAAAAATGAAGCATACAGTCAATTTTATTTGAGAGATTATCTGTAAGTTTTTTCATTTAATTGGCTTTCTAATTGGAGAAAACCCAAGGAGCTCTTAAACTTTTAAAAAAACAATAAACTTAGCCTCTCTGTTTATGTGCGCCTGATGTTCTTTTTCATTCGGTAAACATTTTTCCATAACCAAACACATCTCCAATGTTTTTTGTGTACCATTTAAAAATGAAAAAACTTGTTCAACGTGGTAGAAAAAGTTGCAAAGAAAGCAGCGCACCTAAGCTTTGTTTTTAATAATGCTCACATTCCACGAAAGTTTGTTTTAATTAATATTCCAAAATGCTAAACAGACGAAACCAGACAAACAAGCCAACGAAAATATTTATATAAACCTGAAAGTTAGTTACCAGACTGAAGCCAAAGACCTGAAGGACGGGAAACTTGGCAGTGAGTTTTCCCCTTTTCCCCCGGCATCTCGGCATTTTTTGTCTGCGGGTTCCAATGGCAACGATCCGGGGGAGATGGCACCGCAAGGTGTCCTTTGATGTCTGATAAGCAAATCCGGGCAATGTGACACCTTCGGCTCAATGGATGACCGACCCGTCACCCATTTTCCAATCCCCATTTCCCAATTTCCAAAACCCAAACATTTGAACAACCAACCAACCACCAAGAAATCGGAAAAGCGAGGGGCGGTGCGAGTACTTAATAATGCAAATACCCACAAAAACTTTTGGGAGACAGAGCTGGGAAAAAATTCCAAAAGGGGCTTATCAAATTCTTAAAATGGCTTTGCCCAGAAATAGAAAAGTAAGCCAGAAAAATAGCGTTCACTCAGTGCCTCTCGATTGTCGGCCAATTTGGTGTGGTAACAAATTATCACTGCCCGAGAAAATCAATAAACATTAATCTTGTGGCGATTTTGTCTATATCCCGTACATTATTTGCATAGTTAATGGCCGGGACCACGGGTGCCTTTGGCCATTTAACTGAGAACCGATGGATTTAAGTTCGAGTGGTTGGCCAATTGTTAAAATTATTGCCCGCCGGACGACGAGCTGATTATGCCCGCTTGTAGTTATGATTGGGGAATCGATTTCGTCTGGAAATCGTAAGCTCCAGCTGTTTACTTAACTGGAAACTCGGACGGATTCGTTTGCATTTGCATTTGTATAATTAAAACTGATGTAGAACTCTCCGAAGCCCCGAGGCGTATTTCTGATTGTTCGAGTGTTTGGCTTCCTGGGAAACCCAAGGTGTTTCTGTGTGGCAGGGAAGACTCCAATTAACATCCTCGAGCAGACCTCAAGGACTCTGCTGCGACGTAGATTGAATCTTGTGTGTTCAACATGGCGTATACATAATGTATAAATGAGTTTTCTTGGAGGCAGCGTGACATGTGAGTTGGCCATTAAAAGGGAAATCAAATGATTCTGTTAATAGACCCGGGGGATTTCTTTTTGATTGGTCTTTGGACGTAGGACCCCTGCCCCTATCTTTTCATTTCCATATTGATTTGGGGGTTACCTCCGCCCGCAAAAAGCAATCTCGTCGAAGGGAACTTTATCCCATGAAATTAAAATTTAATTTCAATTAACTTATCACATCGTTGCCAGCATCCGACACCCGAAACCCGACACCAATCAGGATTCCACGCCTCCGCCGCATCAACACATTGAGCGCTCGGCTAATCTACCACAAAATAGCTCGGGGTGGGGGACCCCCATCCCCCATCCCACACCGCCCCTTTCTTGCCTTTCCCAGTCACCTTGCCAACTTACCAACTTGCCACCTTGAAAATTTCATAATTAAACGTTGCCCAACGCCGGCTTAGACCAGACCAGGACCAAAACCGAACCGGGGGCATAGCCCTGGGTGACATCTTCGAGAATTCTAATTAAATCATCCCCTAGAACTTTTGAGGACTTTCTGTGTTGATTCATGTTCCATGTGGCAGCTGCCCCAAGTTTTCCCGGGAATCCACAAAAAAAGAATAGATGAGCAAAATCCGAAAAATGAAATGGAAAACTTTGCTTGCCAGGGTGGCCCAGGAATTTCACTTGATTTCTATTTGTTGTTCTCCTGGCGCTGCTTTCCCTTCACTTCTTAGCCATTTACCGGTTCGTGTTATATGCCGACTAATTTGTGGTGTTTGCCTTTGGCCTCTTCTGACTCTCCTGCTGCTCCAGTGGTTCCGTTTTGGTTCTGGCCGGGATCCCCCTCCCAAAAATATGCAAAGTGGTCAGGGTGGCAGGTTGAGACGGGTGCGTCTATCAGTATCTCATGGCCGTACAGAGAAAATATACTTTATACCATTATAACCTCTTTAAACACACCCCTTGTATGTGATACCTTTATAAGACCCATTCTTGTTTCTATTAATATTTTCAAAAATATTATCTATTAAATATTTATATTTATTTCTAGTGCATCAACTTTTTAATGTAATTATTTTATTGAACGTACCATTTTTTTCCAATGTACCTACCCCGACAAACCCACTCACACGCTTGTGCATGTGTACAAGATTCATAGACTCATAAATCTTTGAGTATTGAAAAACCATTTTTGCCTATAAGAACTCATGCCGAAAAGTTTATCCGGCGCACACGCTTTCCGGCTGAAGGGTGTACGGATCGGGGGCGCTGCTTCGGACTGGATTGGATGGAATGGGATGGGATGGGATGGTATGGTATGGGGTTTCTGACGGGGGAACGGGAAACATTCGCAAACTTGGCTTGAGGTGAAAGCAAACAACGTGACGCCGGACAACGAACACCACTGACGGTGTACAACACTGAATGGCAATTTAGCCAGGACTTCAAATGGTTGCAGGGGTTCCGCTGGGTGCTCCGGTGGGTGGTGTGCGCGGCAGGTTCACCCATGTGGGTGGTTCTCTAGTTTAAGCATTCCCAGCGTCGATGCTTTCGGCCGTTTTGCGAAAATCCACCAAAATAATATTGTTATGTACATTTGTTGTGGGCCTTGGTTTTTGGTCAATGGTCAGGGCTTTAAGTCACCATACACCCATACCCCCTCCCCCATACATAGCCACCATATGCTCCAAGCTGGCTCACACACACATAAACATATCCAACGAAGCGTTCGAATCGAGAGAGGGATATTCATGAAATGGAATAACTAATGACTTTATGCTAGGAGCGTGTTTTGTTAATTGCATTTGACGGCAGAGCGAGAGGGAGATGTGGTAAGCAAGAGAGGGAGGAAGATGGCTCTATTTACACTTCAGAAAAAGTATTCAATAAAACCCAGTCTTATTCAGTCCTAAATCTGTTCATTTCCCAGTTTACTGTTCTTTTTATATTCGTATTAGAAATTCATTAACTTAGTTAAATACTTTTAATTTGGAAATTACTTATGTAAATTGTTCATATTGTTTTAGTCCCTTACAGATCCCAACAATTTAAGGAAAATATTCATTGACGTTCTTAATGTTTAGACTTAAGACAAATTCGGAACTTTTTCAAGGACATCG